AGCCGCTTCTTAATTTGTGGCGACGGCTGGTGCTTCCTCGTGTTTCTGCACTCCCTGAAGAGTTAAGACTGGTCCCCGGCCGAGCTTGGCAAGTGGGAAAGTGTCAGTCTCCCTGCCGGAAGGGAGTGTCCCTGCCCAGGTCACGCAACTGGAATGACACAGTTGTGTTTTGCACACAGAGAGAGTCACAACCCTTGGGAGAGGGTTTAGCAAGAACGGGTGCCTGCGCTCTGTGCATTCCTCGGCTGTCATGAGGTCCCCTCTGGATTAGTAACCTGCTGGTCGATGCTGGTCCTACTTTCTTTCCTGAGTTATGCTAAGAAATATCCCTTGCCCACAGGAACTATCACACGGACAAGAGCCTCTTTCCTCACCCACAAGGACTTGTAGAGGGTTCTCTCTCTCTCTCTCTCTCTCTCTCTCTCTCTCTCTCTCTCTCTTTAAAATAGATTTTTATTGAAAATTAAAATTTAAAAACATTTGAATGTGGCGATCTTTTAACATATATCAACAGTCTGCATTATTACAATAGCAGAATATCAAACATTACATATATACACACACACACACACACACACACACTTACATACATACATACATACATATACACACACGCACACACACTTTATTGGCCAAGTGTGATTGGACACACAAGGAATTTGTCTTGGTGTAAATACTCTCAGTATACATAAAGAAAAGGTACATTCATTAAGAATCAAGAATCATAATGTACAACACTTAATGACAGTCATAGGGAACAATCAATAATCAAATCATACTAGGAAGCAGTCAAGTGGGAGGGGATGGGTGAGAAGGAGGGGTGAGAAGATTAACAGTAATAGTAGTGTACACTTTGTAAATGTATGCAGGTCTTGGTGTGTTTGGGTCTTTTCCCGTGTAAGATTGAGAGTATCTTGGCGATGTTTCGACGAGGTCCCACTCACCATCTTCAGGCTGGTGCTTTTGGCTTCGTGCTTGTGCGAGCAAAGCGTGATCGGAGCTGCCGTCTCTCTATAAATAGACCCGAACATGCCAAGACCTGCATGAAAATATACCCGTGAAAATATACAAAAACATATATACACACACACACACACACCTATATAGATATTTACATTGTTAATCTTTCTATCCATTTCTATCTTAGACGTTTTATTGCGATATAGACTCCTTCTTAACTTCTATTTCACATTTCTTGACTTCCTTTCATTTCCTTCCAATTATAATTTTTTTTCCATATTGCATAAAATTCTGAGGTATCTCGCTCCTTCAGTTCTCCCGTTAAACTATCTAACTCAGCGCAGTGTAGAATTTTTTTTTATTATTACTTCATTGTTAGGTATTTCTTTTGATATCCATGTTTGGGATATTGATAGTCTTGCGGCTGTGATAATATGAATAATTAAATATATATCTGTTTTTTTAAAAAAAATTCTCATTTGTTATTCCTAATAAGAACTTTTCTGCTGTAAAATTTATTTTTAGGTTTAACATTTCCTCTAACCATTGCCAAATTTTGTGCCAAAATTCTTGCATTTTCTTGCACTCCCACCACATATGATAATAAGTGCCCCGTTCTTTCAAACATTTCCAACATATAGCTACCCTGATGGGTGGAAGATGCCATCTATAAAACATCTTAAATAGATTTTCTTCGAAAGCCTCATCCTAGAGGGTTCTCTCTTAGGTGCTTGGCCAGAAGGTCCGAGCATGTGGAAATGTAACCATCTCCTCGGGGGTGCACATTTTTTTCCCCCTTTTTTTCCCCTTTCCGGGCTGTCTTGGGGGAGGCAGAGCAACTGGCTCTTCAGCTCAAAAATCCCTGTCAAAGCCCCAGCCTCAATTTCAAGCAGCCAAGCTCACCAAGGAGGCAAAAACTTGACCGCTTGGACACGAATGGTTTGAAGGTACAGCCTAGCAAACCTGTGTTCTCTCATGCCCTTAAGTACAGCGGTGGGTCTTTGGTAGCCTTGTTGACTCCTGCGTAATGTAGCCTTTCCCAGCCGGCTTCAAGGGACACAGATCGAAAACCCCAGGAGGCACTCGGAAGCCAATAATTACAGTTATAAAACAACTTAAAATCAACATTGGTTCCATAGCGACATCTAAAGCAATGTATAATGATTCGGGGATATTAAAAGTATAAGGAAAGATGTTTTTTTTAAAAAAAAACACGTATTGGTGTATTTTAAAAATGAATTGATCCTATTGGAATGTAAAGTGTTTTTTAAAAGAAAAGCCCACACACATTTCAAGTCATTTGGCATATAGCATAGGGAGCCATAGTTTTTCCTAAGAATAAACAGTATTTCAGATTTTTTGGAAACATCACCAATTCATTTTGAGCTCCAGCCTTTATTAATAGTAACAGTCTTTGTTAATACGGTATCAGTTATGCTTCATAAGGATAATGCTTAAAAGCAGTAATCATTTTCTGTGTTTATTAAAATAATGTTAAAGCCACTATAGTATAAGTTAAATTTCCTTCTGTTGATTAAATGTTAGATTGTCTATCTATGATCTATCCATCCATCCATCCATCCATCCATCCATCTATCCATCGATCTATCCATCAGTCTATCTCTGTCTATCTACTGTATTTCTATATCTGTCTCTGTATCTATATACCTACCTGCCTATTATTTAATTGACAAAGCAAAATAGATGGCAAGAGACAATGAAAAACAATAGGTAAAATCTCTTTTCTGCAGTGTGTGATTCCTTCACATATGAGTGATTCAGAATCTCTCCACTAACAAATCAGAAATAAGTTGATTTGTGCCACGTGCAAAATAATCTCAAGTTGCATCCAAATATATCAGACCAAGAGTAGCCAGCACTATTTCTTTTTTGATACCAGTGGCCATCCAACCTGCCGGGGTGAGGAAGAGTTGTTGTAACTTGAAAGCTAGTTCCCAACTGTATTCGTTTTGTGTGTTCTTTAAAACTTAGTTTATTTTCTCCAAGTAGGAGTGTTAGATTATTGCTTATTTGTGGATTTTCCCTTCCTTGGGCTAGTACACCTTTCTGCATCTTGAAACATCTCTTTTAAAGGTTGTCTGAGATATTTTCAAAGGGCACATTTTTAAAGTGTGTGTGCAGATTTAATTCAGACTTTTAAACTAGGTATCTGTTGAGCAACCATTTCCAGACCTTCATTTCCTGTCATCAATCCTGGGAAATTTGCAGTGATGTCACTGTGTCACCTTGCTTAATTTTTTTTCTCTTTAACTTCCTTTCTGGGAGGGCCCTCTGCCTTTGCTAGATGCACGTTCTCTCACTACTCTTGCACTGAAGTGACATCACCCGGCTTCCTGATAAGATTGGGCCCGGAGTGAAAGGGCTTGGTTATGTCATACAAGGAGGAAGGGAGGGAGGGGAAGGAACTTTCTCTGCGTGGAATGCCGTTTTCCAGTCTGAATAATGCAGTCATTTGCATTGAAACACTCAAATTTTTCTCCCCCTGAGTTTATTGCCCTGGCACAGCTCTGGATATCCCTTCTGGGTTTCCTGTTGAACCGAAAGAGCCTTTTGCACCAAAACAAATAAAAACATGGCAAATTTCCATGGCAGGTGGTTTATTGAAAAGCGCTGTCTTCGTCCTTTCAGCAGGAATTTTCTTGCTGAAAAAAGCACGGCTAAGTCGGGAGGTTAAAGAAGGTGTCTACATTTGCATATTTTTCTTAGCTTGAACAGCCAGCTCTTGGAGATTATAGGTGAATCTGAAGAAGGCCCAGGGGTAGAGATGCATTCATTTCTGCTAAAAATGCCAAGAATCTTGTGTTAGAATCTGAAGAATCCTTGTAGGAGAATGCTGGTGCAACAAACCAGAGCAGATTCCGGGCTCGAGTTAAGTGAGGGTTGGGTTTTGCCGAAGAGACACCGTTAGGAAAGGATATTTGTGAGGTCATGAAGATAAGGCATCCTGGCCGAGAAGCAAATAAACCCCTGCGAGAGCTCCTGAACCGTCCTGCTACCCTTGCGGCTTTCCAAATTCCTATTAAAAAATTCCTGTATAACGGAGACCCCGAAGGATGACTGGGGACTTGCAGAATGCCAATTCTAAGATCTCAGCCTGAAATCCAGGCTTAGATGTGGAAGGGCCGGGGCAGAAAAATTACAAAAGCGACCCTTGTTCCCATGAGATTCCTTGCTTCGGTAGAGGCCGTGGTGTGAATGTTCCCATTGATTATTCATGTCAGACACTGAGAAATGGGCAGAGGTTGGGACTGGTGGCCTCTTCCGCCTCCTTGGGGGTTTGTGTCTACAGTTGGCGAAGTCAGGGAATAACCTGGCCAAAAGCAAAAATGATGTTGGGTTTCCTCTCTTCCCCCCTCCCCCCCCCCCCCCGGGGTTCTCCATTTACAGAAGTTCTTTCTTCCTTTCGTTTCTGGTCTTTCTGATGATACCATTGCCAAGGTATTTTTTCTTTCCGCCTAAGCCAAGGCATTGATTAAATAATAAAGTATCTATTGTGGTTTGCTTTGGGGTTAACTGGAGAGTAGTAGAAAAAGGACCCTGGGAAGCAGAACACGCCAGTCTTTCTCTGCAAAGTTCTGATGTTGCCTTTCCATCGAATTGCAACGGATGGCACCTGATTCTGAGCTTCTAGCTCCTGTGGAATTACCTCGGGTCTCCGCTCACTTTTTATCATGCCCACTGAAGTGACTTCTATATCGAGAGTTTTTAATTAGTCTGTTTCAAGGAATTGTTGCTTTTTCGTTGTTTTTATAGTTGCTATGACTAAGGTTTACGGCTGCTGTTTTTATATAACACGCATTATACTTTCTTTCTTTTTTTTGCTGGTGAGCCGCTTGAAATTATATTGGGAAAAATGTCTGTAAAAACCCACCAATAGCCCAGGCCGCTGGTAGCACTTAACAAACCTTAACCTGTTTAAAAAAAAAAAATTCTGGACCTCAGTAAGCGGCTGGTCAGGCCCCTGGAAGGCCCAGTTCAAACGGCCTCCCCTCTAATTCTCCTTTTGATCCGTCCTCTAGCCGTCAGCCCGAGCCATCAAAGAAGGAGAAGGAGGCCACTACAACCACTCCTTCTCAGTCCAAGAGAGCAGATGAATGGAAGGACCCCTGGCGCCGATCGAAATCTCCCAAAAAAAAGCACAGCATGTCCGCCTCGCCCAGTCACGCAAGGAGGCGCCGGAAAACCTCGGCTTCATCAGCTTCTGGCTCAGGTTCTTCAAGGTATAAACCTGGGGGGTCCCGCTAGCCCCCCCCAGGGAGCGGATATTTCTTCTGGGTTGCATCTTGCCAAGAGAGTCCCTGAGATCTTACAGAAGAAGTTCTGGAAGAAAAGCCCCTCGGCTAAAGACCGCGCAAAAAAGATCTCAGGAACCAGCGGTGGGGAAAGCTGTTTGTTGTGTAAGTCGGGATGCAACCCAGAGCTTTGGGGTGGGCAGCTGTCCCTTTCCAGGAAGGGAAATCGCCCATGTCCCTCCAGAGATAGCTTTGAAGGATGCAAGAAGGGCACAGGTGGCTACCTCTGGTAGGACCAGGAAACCGTCTCCGGAGGAAAGAGGTCTTGCCTCTTCTTGAAACTAGCATAGGAAGCCAGGATGTCTGTGGGAGACCTTCCGGTTGCTCAATCCCCTCCTCCTTTCCCTTTCAGGTCATCTTCCCGCTCCTCCTCCTATTCTGGATCAGGTTCTTCGCGGTCACGTTCCAGATCGTCCTCCTATAGCTCCTACACTAGTCACTCTTCCAGGCACAGCTCCTTCTCAGGCAGCCGGTCCAGGTATGGCTTCTCTCCCCTCAGCACAGTAAAGAAAAGAAACCTGTTAATTTAGTTACTTTCTTCCTTTATCGTTCGTGTTTCTTAGCCACCCATCTCCCTCAGATTGTCTCGATGTGACCAGGGACGTCCAGAGGGGCCAAACGTCGAACCCCATTGTAGTTTTCGTAGGGTGTTTAAGTCTCTTGTCAAAGCCTTGAGCTCCTGGCCAGGAGAAGATTCAGGGGGAAGATTCCCACCTCTCCGAAGAAGCCAGATATTCCGGGGCTCTCTAGCTTAGAAGTGGAGGAAGTTTCCAAGTGGGCACGGTGCCAGCCAACTTTGCATGTTGGTATTTTCAGCTGCCGCTGTAGGTGATATAAGGTGATGCAATACTCGAGTTTAACCCACCTCTTATCACAACAAAGTGACAAAACAGGGCAGTTGAGTAAACAAACAATAATAATCCTGTGACCTGCGTAAAATAGCAGAATGGCTTGTTGAATGGCAGCAGTTGCATAATGAATTGCAGAGATTGTTTATGGAGTCTCATGACTGGCACCAAATCCGGTGATGCTTTCAGCTGTCATTTATCCTCCTCCCGCCACCCCCAGTCTCCAGTCTCAGTCCACTCCTCCTCCTCCTCCTCCTCCTCGTCTGTGGATTTTTTTCTCCAGCAACTCAAAGGTGATGAACTGCTTTGAACTCCCTTTGGCCCAAGCTTAGGTCTCCTTGCTCTTGCCGAGAATGGAGGGGAACTGATCTAAAACAGGACGGGGGTCTCTTATCTGTGCACCGTCAAGCAAGTTGGAATTTCAGCTTCCGTTTTGAAGCTGAGAGCCCAATCCCAGGGCATGCAGAGAAGAGAAGCTCCAGCCCATATTATAGGTCCCAAACAGGGCAGAGCACAGCTAGACCCAAGTGCCCCTTCGCTTTTCTTACTCTAAATGGTGCCTTGGGTAGGAATGCAGGGGGCTTAAGTCACCCTCTTTCCAGGCTCCCCGTCCTTTCCCTCCTGTATGGACCCCGGTGAAGCCACCCCTGTATAAGGGGTGGCCTTGGCAGTGGGGCCGAGGCAGGAGGGCTCATGGGGCAGACACCCAAGGAGCAGCACCACTCCTGATTACGAGAAACTGTTGAGGTGTGGCCTTGAGTTTCGCCTCTTCTGGGATGTGCCACCCACATATTGGGTAACTTCCTCCCTGCCCTTCAAGGGCCAATTCCTCGGTGTGGGTTCTGATTGGCACGCAAGCCACGATGAAAGCGGAGCATGGGCCCTCATGACTTTCCCCCGAACTTCCTAAGTGTGGTGTGTCGCACATCACAACCACAGGTACGCAGAGCATGGAGACCGTGGTGTGTGTCCACGGGCAGCTTCCAACCTATTGGGGCAACCGATTGGTGGATTGTTTTAAAAGGAAAGCAGCCTTTCTCGTTAGCTTGCTCTTGTTTGCAGCTGGGGAATCCAGGGGAGGGGGCTTGCATGGGTTCATGGCTTCTCTTTCCAACCACAAAGCTTTGGCCGTGGTCAACCGATCTTCTGGATCCGCTTCCAGGGAGACCCCCTGCAAGAGAAGCACCGAGCGTTGGCGGACTGGTCCCTGGCCCACCCGTTCAGCTGCTGGCCCCAGTGCCAATATTCTGCAACCTGTAATGATCGTAGCCCTCCCGATGGACCTGTCCGTGGCTCCCTTGGCTTTCCTGCCTTTCCCAGTGGCTGTGGACTTGAGGGGTCCTTGGTGCTCTCTGGGGTTGGTGGTGGTTATGCCGGTGTTTCATTACCTCAACTAGGTAACTTGGGCTTGAAGGGTTTCCTCTCTCTCTCCCTCCCTCAGCTGACCGCAAACCCCAATCCTTCCTAGCCCTGGTGGTGTTGCCTACTTTGAGTAGTGAAACATAAAACCCCCAAGCACAGAGAGCACCAAGGACCCCGAGCTACAAATACTCTCCTGTGCTGTCTATTCACTTGCTTTATTTCCGCTCTGCTCTTCGTACTGCCGTATGTCATAAGCCATCCTCCTCTCCCCCCACAGTCAAAGACAGAATTCTCAGCGAAGCGTGAACTCGCCTTACCTAACGTTCAAAAGTTGTAAACGTTAATTCTAGTTTGTTCATGCAAGTAACCATTTTTCATGTATCTCTTTTGCAAAGCGCCTTAGGTGTCCAACCTATTGGTCACTTTTTCCTGCTGTCGGTTTAATTCAGTTGGCCAATTCAGCTGGAAACCCCCTCCCCTCCCCCAAGGAGCACCCCCAGTCGAGGAGCCTCCTGTGGCGACTGAGGCGCTGCTGAGTCTAACCGCTTGTCTTGCCTGACTTTGCAGGTCGCAGTCCTTCTCCTCTTCGCCGTCTCCTTCTCCCACGCCTTCTCCACACAAGCCTCCCCCCAAAGTCAAAGGGGAATCTGCAGTTCTGGCTGGAAAAGGGTAAGAAAGGGGACCCCTTGTGCCCTGGCAGCCTTCCCGTTCTTCAGGGGTGCCCAACGGAGGACAGTCGGGGTGACAATAAAGCCGGCAGAATCCTTACACGCCTTCCAGCCCAACCACTCGGAACCCAGAGGATAATTCTGCCCACTGCCTTTCTGAAATGTGGTTTTGGAGCTCGGACATGGGCCAAAGAGGGCAGCCAGAATGACCCAGCACTGTGCCCTTCCATGCCAGTTTCAGGAACGAGACAGGGCTGGCCGTTCACATCGTAATTATATTTTCCTCTATCAGCCTAAATATCAGCCTAAATCTCACTATGATCCAACACCCTTCTTGTCTGGTTGGACTTACGAAGAGGACCTGGTCCAAGATGGGGGTTTTGGCTAACAGGATTTGAATCTGGTTGATCCGTTTTTTAAACAACCCATTGCACTGATTTTTTTTCTCTTCCAGTTTTTGGGGTGCCACCTAAATTCTATTTGGCCGTTCCAAGAACCATTTATTCTGGGTGGGGTTCATAAAATAACAGTCCAGGGCCCTTTACATTATATTTATAGGCCGGTCCCTTTAGTCCTTAGACCAGAAAAAAAGGGTCTGATAAGGGTTACCAGAGATGGCAACGTATCTGTTTTAACCGTGGTCACTCAGTGTTGGGTTTCCTCTTCAGTGAAAAGCTTGTGAAGAAACTCCCAGCCGCACCAGCACCTCCACCGGTGGCAAAAGTTGCCCCCTCTGCCCCAGAGCCAGCCAAACCAGGGGACAACAGGGAGGCAAGGCGGAAGGAGCGGCAAGCGAGGACCCCGCCCAGAAGGTAGGGCCGGGGGTCATTCTGGAGTGGGGCTCCAGTGGGCAGGTCCCCCATGGCCTCGCTGGAAGGACAGCGGCTCCCGCGGTCGCTTTGTAGAACACCGAGACTTGGGCCCTTCGGGTCTCAAGGGGTGCTCGGAAGCAGGCTGGGCTTGTTCCTGGCCCAGGGAGGCACCCGGAGGGTTAGTTAGCCAGATCTCACCTGCAAAGGTGGTCTAAAGCAATAGCCCCAGGGGAGATGGGTTGGCTTCCCCACTGCCCGCTGTAGGCATCCGTTTGAGTCCTTTTCTCCGCTTGCTCTGTGATGCGGCAAACGGCCCCCTTCCTCTTAAGCGGTGGGATTCGTGAAAGACCCTTCGGGACGCCTGCACTGGGAAAGCTTCTCGGTGCCTCCCCGGCCTGGGCCGGTCAGCTTAAGCGGGGATTCTCTTGGCTGCAGGCGGGCCGTCAGTTGCAGCGGCAGCAGTTACAGCGGGTCCAGCTCTCACTCGAGGTCCCTGTCCCGGTCCCTGTCGCAGTCCTCCTCAGCCTCGCTCTCCCCGTCTCCATCCGGGTCCAGGAAATCCAGGTAAGAGGTTTGGAGGCAGGAAGCGCCAGTCGGTGGCCTCTGCCAAGCGCTAAGCCCGCTGCTTCGTGGTTTGGGGGGCCTGTAACTTCCCTCCCTCGAGCCCCTCCTCCTCCTCCTCCTCCACTGGATCCCCCCCCCCCCAGGGCAGGAGGACGGGCTCAGAGCGGGGCCGGCTCTTCCGTGCAGGCCGGGTGAAGCTCTCGGTGCGGCTGAAAGGAAGAAGCAGGCGTTAACCGTCTCTGCCCTCCTCTCTCCTCCCGGCCCGTCAGGTCTCTGAGTGTCAGCAGCGTCTCTTCCGCCTCCAGTGCCTCCTCCAGCAGCAGCTCAGTCCGGAGCGCCGACTCGGAAGACATGTACGCGGACCTGGCCAGCCCGGTTTCTTCGGCTAGCTCCCGGTCCCCGACCCCCGCCCAGCAGAAGAAAGAAAGGGGTACGGCGTCTCCAGGCTCCTCCCCGGGGTCCACGCCCTCTTTCCTGGCAAAGCCGGGTCCAGGGGTGACGCCCACGGCAGGGGCCTCCTCCTCCTCCTCCCCCCCCTCCTCCTGCTCCTCCTCCTCCTCCTCCAGAGGCTTCGGGTGCACCTCGTTCTTCGCCCTGCGGTAGAAACGCTGCGCAGAGCCCAGGAGAGGCCATCCTTCTCCCCCCCTGCCAAGGCCGTGGGCCCAGCCCTGGGCAGTCGGGGGCCTCACGGTGGGGGCAGGAAGATTGTCCAAGGGCTTTCGGGGTGGGGGGGAATGCTCTGATGGACTCTTCCGGGGGCTGATCCGTTCCCCCATTGAAACAGAACGAAAGGCCAGCAATAAAACCTGATCCGGATTCCAGGCCCGGTTAAAAATGCCGGGAGAACTTTTGTAGGAAAGGAAATGGCCGCAGCCCCGAACCCACATGGGGTCCCCAAAGCGGGAGGCCTCCTCTGGGCGGCCGAGCGGCGGCTTCCTTGCGATGGAGCCCCCCGAGCCTCTCCAGGCTGGCCCCCGCCCCCCTCGCCCTGAACTGCCCGGCCTTTCTCGCAGGAAAGGCCAAGAAAGAGAGCGGCCCGAAGGAGGAGAAGCGGAAGCGAGACGTCCCAGCGCAGCCGGCCAAATCCGCCAAGCCAGCCTCAGGGGGGAAGTCTCAGCAGCCTCCCGCCCCCCACCCGCCCTCCCAGGCCCAGCCTGCTGGCTTCAGTGCCCACAAGGAAATCAAGCTCACCCTATTGAACAAGGTAAGGCCCTTCGGAAAGTGCCTGGATCATCCTCCTCCTCTTCCTCCTCCTCCTCTTCCTCCTCCTTCTCTTCCCCCAGCTGATGGGGAGCAGGGCGGGGGGGGCTCCCTGGGGAATCCTCAACCGCTGCCCAGGGGTGGGCAAGGCAGGAAGAGCTGGGGGGGGGTGGCTGTCCCTGACTCACTCGGGCCCTCAGTTTGTGCCTTCCCTCTGTGCGGGGGGCGGGGGTGGGGGGCTCTGCTGATAGGATGGACCTGCACATCAACCTCTTGAGCGACGTCTGCTCCCTTCACTGCCCCCCAGCTGGAGTTGAGCGTCTTCAGTCTCTTGGGGAGGCCTGGGGGGAGCCCCCATCCCTCTGCCCGCCTCCTCAGGGCAGGGGCCTGGCTTCGGCGTGATCCCTTCCGCTCTGCTTTTAGGCGGCTGACAAGAACAGCAGTCGGAAGCGGTACGAGCCCTCCGACAAAGACCGGCAGGCTTCTCCCCCGACCAAGAGGATCAACCTGTCTCCAGGTGAGGAGCCGGGACTCGGCGGCAGGTTTCAGGACCCCCCCACCTTGCCTTGCAGTGTGCTCTTGTAGCTGCGCTCTGAACCAGCTGCATCCTGCCCAGGGCAGCGTTCAGGAGTCGGGGAGGTGTGTGTGCGTGCGTGTGTGTGCGCGCGTGTGTGTAAGGGAAGTGCCAGGCCTTTGTCTGCAGCCATCCTCCTCCTGCAAACGGGTGAAGCAAGAGAGCCTCTCGGCGGGCGGGGCTGCCTAATCCACCCGACCAGCCGAAGCTGCATAGTAGCTGCATAGTTGATGCCTCGTGGCCTTGAGAACGGGAGGCTGCCCAGAAGGCTTCGGGGGGGGGGGGGGGGGCCGCGCGGCCCTTGTCAAAGAAGGCGGGGCGGCCTTCCAGATGTCTCCTCCCGAGGGACGGTGCCCCTGTGCTAGTCGGCCGGCCTGGCACCACTCAGCCCTTGCTGTTGCTCATGCCCCCTCAGGCCCTGGCTTGGTCCCCAGCCCTGTTGCTAAAGCCAAGGCTCTCCTCCCGAGTGCCAAGCACAGCGCCACGTTCCTGTTGCTGATCTTGCCGCCTGAAAAAGGTGTTGTGTAAATCTAAACCGGTGTCTCTGAAAGAGCCGGGATGGAAAATCCCCAGCGCACCTCACACCTCTGCCTCGAACTCTGGGCTTGTGCGCTCTCCCCTTTTCTCTCTCTCTCTCTCTCTCTCTTTCTCAGTTTCGGCTTTTCTCCGGCCCTGTGAGATAGGACTGTTGGCCTACCTTACAGAGTTGTTGTAAAGGCTTCTGGGAACGTAGCTCAAGCGTGGCTGGCATTTACAAGACATTATTTCTGATCCTGGCCTCTCTTGTTAGGCCGGGCTTGGCCCCTTCCCTGTGTCTCCTCCCCATTCCCTCCTGCCCTTCAAAAGCTCACCTGTGCCCAAGTACCAGCCGGCCAGTCTCTTTATGTCAATACGCCCACACACCTCGGCCGGTTCCTGGAGAGGTAACGGGTCGAAGGAGCGACCTTGAGGAAGTGGAGGAAAAGCCACTTCCAGGGCACCAGTCGGGTAGAAGGAACCAGAGTCTGGGGCCAGGATTGTAACCCGGAAGAAGGTCATGGGCCAGACCCTCCCCCAAAGGTCCCCCAAAGATCAAAGGGAGCAGGGTGCATTCAGATCCAGGACTATGGTAGGAAAAGGGGTCTTCGCTTGCCTGGCCTGCTCTGCCTCGAAGGGGGGAGGACGTCCCCTCCAGGCCCCTCGGCTAACGTTTCTTTCCTCTCAGGTGCTCGCGACCGGAAACTCACCGGAAGGCTCACCTCTCCCAAACAGGACCGTCAGCGGGGGCCCAACCCGAAGCCCTCCCCGGCACAGGCTGATAAGTGAGTTCTGCTCTGTCTTCTCAGTCCAGTTGGCCGGGTTGCCCCTCGAGCGCCGTCACGGCTGCCTGGCTGGGGGGTCTCCCACAGTGGACCCCCAAGGAGTAAAGAGGATCTGCTCCTCTCTGCAGTCCAGACCGAGAAGGAGCCAGCCCGGAAAGCCTCGTGGAGCCGTCCCGCGGGGGAATCGCCCCGGGCGCTTGGAGGGCCTGAAGCAGCTCCAGGGGGCGGGATGGGGGGTCTCGACCCTGCGGGCCGGGGGGGGGGGTTCTTACCAGCCCCGTGAGAGAGACGGGAGATGGACGGCCAGGGGTTTCCTCTTGTGGGCTCTGGGGGAATATTAGCAGCAGATTACTTGGGGAATTGAAGGGGGGGTGCCGTCTTCCTCACCCCCTAATTAACCAGTGGAGTTCTCCTTTTGTTCGGTGGTGTCGGGACGTTGGCCTGGGATGCCCAAACCAACCAAGTTTGGTTGGATAAGAAAATGTTCTTTTTTTTCCTCTTTTTTTTTTTTAATCAAAAGCCCAAATCAGGGCTGGCTTCTCGTTACTGGCAGTCCTTGAGACCACACCTGGGACCGGGGTTTCAGTCATTAAGCAAGTCATTGGGGTGACCAGGCCTGATTTTATTCTCTCTTTTTTTTATCGCAGTCATTAAATGAATCATGCGGTCATTACACGAATCTGTCTTCCGCCACGGACTTGGCGGGGGGGGGGGTCGGTCAGAAGTCAGCCGGGAAGGTCACAAATCACAATTGTGTGACTGCAAAATGCTTCCCCCCCTTGTGAGACGGTTGCCAAGCGACCACCACATGATCACAGTGTGATTGCAGTGCTGGTGTGACGGTCATAACTTTGAGGATGGCTTGCAAGTCGCTGTTTCCGAGGCCATCCCAGCTTCCAACTGTTGTTAAACGATCAGTCATAACTGGAGGCCACCCGGGCTCTCTCTCTCCCTGGCAAAGCAGCCCCGGCACTTCTGACCCTGGGCTTAGTCATCGGCTGATTGGCTCACCGATTTAGTCGTTCCGTGCTGAGCCATTGCGATACGGTGTGTCACGTGAAGAAAAATGTCTGAACGTGGGACGTTCCCTTGCATTAGTCACCATTATCTGGAGCAGGGATCTCCAACCTGGGCCACTTTGAGGCTTGTGAACTTCAACTCCCAGAAATTCCTCAGCCGGCAAAGCTGTTGAAGTCCACAAGTCTCAAAGTGGCCCAGGTGGGAGACCCCAGATCTGGAGCATCTGTTGGTTAACCCACGACCCACGACCGAGTCACTTGAAACGCAAACTCAGATCTCTGCTTCGAGCAGCTTTGCTGCCTGCTGGCCAGGGACCCCCCCCTGGGAGACGCCGCAGGGCTGCAGGCGCCTGTCGATCCCCCTGCGTTTGACTTCCTGAGTCTGCCGCGTGTCCCAGCCATTCCAGGTGGCGACTTTTCCTGTCACCCTTTTTTGTTTTTCCCTCCCCCTCAAACGCTGCCGTTGCTCTCTTGCAGGAAGCGCCCGCTCTCCCCGCCGTCTAAGAGTTCCAGCAAGGTCACGAGCATCCCAGGCAAAGCGGCCGAGCCGGTCCCTCCAGCTGCCCCGGCCAAATCGGGCAAGTCCAGCACGTTGTCGCGAAGGGAGGAGCTCCTGAAGCAGCTGAAGGCCGTGGAGGACGCCATTGCTCGGAAGCGGGCCAAGATCCCCGGGAAAGTATAGTCCAGCGCTGGCCCGGCCCGGATCAGAGACTCGCCCGTGTTTTTATAAATAGCGTCCAAGCAGCCACTTTGGATTTTGCAGTTCTGTTTTATTTTGGCAGTGGCCCTTTTTAAAAAACAAAACCACAACAACAACAACAAAAACAAAAGCAAAACCAACAACCAATTGGATAAATTTTGTCAGCTGGAATCCACCCCCCCACCGCCCACTTCCTGGGTGGGAGACGGTTCCCCCGACTGCCTCTCTCACCCAGGTGCTGCTGGCCCCGGGTGCAAGTGTTCGCCGCGGTCGTTTTCCTGGTCCTGGTGCACAGTGGGCTCCTCACCGCAGCCTCGTCCGGTGTGTCCTCCCCCCCTTTCTCCTCCCCCACCTCTTCGCTAGCTATGAATTGCATCCCCCTAGTTAGCCCCCATGCTACGTGTCGCGTGTTGTCAGCCATGCACTTCTGCACACGTGTAAAAGGAGAGTGTCCCCCCCCCCAAAAAAAACACCGTCCCCAGCCGGAACTTCCCCCTCTCTGCCCTTCCCCTCCCCTCCCCCCAGCTGCGTAGAGACCCGTGATGAGAAGATTCCATGTCTCTTTTATTTTAACCAAAAGATTGTTTTAGTTGATTTAAAGCCAGAAGAAAAACAAAAAAGATTTTGTCAGGATGTATGTCTAATAAGGAGGGAGGATTTTTTTTCCTTTTTTTTTCTTTTTTTCCTTTTTTTGAGGGGTTATGCTGAAAATAAAGTATTTTGATAAACATCTTCTTTCTTGGACCTCTTGTCTCTTAGGGCGCCAGATTGGGGTAAATCAAACTGGAGAAAATCCAGAGGGGCGTTTGATGGGTTTTTATTTTTGAGGATGGCAGCAGGCGGGTTAAAAAGTCTCTTCTGAACTGATTAAAAAAAAAAAAATTCAAAGGAAATGTAATCTTAATTTCTGTTTAATTGGCACCTGAACATTGCCACTGGGTCTTCGCAGGTCTTCCAATTTTGCTCAAGGAATTCTTTTCAGCTGCTTCTTCCAGGACCCTTGGGGGATTTTAATTGCTTCCTGCCGTTAGAGGAGATCAAAAAAATACACCTCAACTTCAGAGCCTGTACTTAAAAGTGCCCCTGACTTTTGGGTACCCTTTGCTGTTTTTTTTTTTTTTTTTACTTGGGGGAATCTGGATTTTCAGCTGGATCCGCTGCCTCTCCTTCCGGTTGATGCCCGAATTGCCTGTATTTTGATTTTGAAATTCAAGAAAGGAAAAAGACGGAGTAAAACGAGTAAGAATGGGGCCTCTGAAATCTCTCTTCAAAAAGGTCCCACAATCCACTTGCGTGAGATAACATCTCTTCAGTGCTGCAAAACGCTCCCCTTTCGGCTGTGGTTTATCAGCGTAATTGCGGTCCATGTGAGCTGAGCTGGACACAATACCTGAAGTCACAAGTGCCTGCGTCACGTCACGCGAATCCCAGCAGGAGCGTCTCTAAACTGGTTTTTGCCAGTATTGCCCTACACACACGTGGAGCCCCAGCCAAGGGGTGAAAGGTGTCCTTTCCGGAGAGAAGAGCGTCTCCGTCCAGCCCAGAGAGGAGAGCAAGAGAGGCTCCGAAGTCACAAACAGCCCAGCGGCTCCTTTTTTCCTTGTTGTGCCGCCTGGTTTTCGTCACAGCCGTAGAGGCGGCTGCAGAGACCAACTCCCGTCTGCACGAAATCCCGCAGCTGCAGCCTCCGTCCATCAGCGCAAAGGCTTAAGATGTTGAGCAATTGCCCAGGGGTTGGGGTTTTTTTTTTTCTTTTACACCTGTTGCAATGCTGCTTTTCCAAGGGACACAAGAGGGTGACCCCACCACCACGTGCTTGGGTGCCCCAGGCCACCTGAGGGCAGGCCGGGTCTTCTCAGCCAATGCAGGTTGAAGATCGAGCGGCAGAAGAACCTTGCTGGAAAGAATTCTGGAGCCCGAGTCTCTGTCGTGTCAAAGGAAATGGTGGGGCTGGTCTGACAAATACGCAGCAGAATCGCGTCGTAATTTATTTTTTCATAGTTTATTAATCACCCAGTTTCCTTATTCTTCCTTGATTTCCTCTTCTCCTTAACGCAGGGGTCCCCAAACTTGGCAGCTTTAAGACTTGTGGACTTCAGCTCCCAGAAGGCTGGAGAATTCTGGGAGTTGGAAGTCCACAAGCCTTAAAGTTGCTGAGTTTGGAGACGTCTGCCTCATCCCAGGGTTATTGTCGTGAGGTCGATCAGAAGAGGAAGGTGTGCTCACTGCATTGAGAATAATAAAGGCAAGGAAGGAAGAAAATAAATGGAAAATAAGAGCGGGGGGAAAAGGAAAGGAAGAAAGGAAAAGAAGACGGATCTGGTGACAATCGTGCAGAACAGCTGTGTCGGTACATGGGTAGCCAAAAGCCAGGAGTCGGGGAGCAGCTTATCCTATTCCCAAAAAAAAGGATTAAAAGACAGAAGCTTTTATTCACCCAGTGCGTTATTTGGTAAAGCGGCTGCCAGGCGCCTTCTGGTGAAGGTCAGCAGAGCCCGGAATACGGAAGGGCTTGGATCCCATCCAGGGTCTTTTGAGGCCGTCCTCCGCGTCAATTGCTGGAGACTTCCGGGACGAGCATCTGCAGAGCCAGATGTGCCTGGGAGGAGGGGGGCAGGAGGAATGCATGGCGCACACACACACACACACCCCAGGAGAATCTTTGGAGGAGCCATTCAGGTCAAAGCAGGCTGGCCTTTCTCCAGCCCGGTGGCCCCGATGGGCCTTGGACTCCAGTCCCCCTAATTCCCAGCCAGTGAGGACAGAGGCAGCTAGGGCAAGGGTCCCCCCGGAAGATGTGCTACCAAGGCAACCTAGAGATGGCCTGGCCTGGCATCTCGGCCCCTCTTGCCTGCCCATCCCCTTACCTCCACCCCCCGCCCCCCCAATGGTTTTGGAGACTATTAGGGTCCCTTGGCAACTTCCTGCTTCCTCCGGCCTCCCTCCCGGCGCAGTGTGACTCCATCCAAGCCACATGGAGGGGATTTCCCTGCGCTGGGCATGTAGCAGCATGTCATGTGCTTGGGAGGGAATGACACACACACGCACACACACACACACACACACACACACACACACAGGATAATGACAGGAGAGGGAGAGAGAGAGGGACAAAGGCAGCATGCGAAGCCGGTTTGTGGAGGTCGAAGAGCTCAGAGCGTTTTGCCTTTTCACCCAATTTCAACATCCCTGTCACCCAGTTAACCCCTTCGGCATCTGCCACTCACTCCGCCCCCGGATAGAAACCGCGTCTAGCTGCCAAAATCAGGATCAGGAAGGTTGCTTCCTGCCGGGCCCTACCGGCAAGTGGGAGGGGACACGAGGCGATGCCCCCACCCCAACCCCAGCAAGCTTCCCCCAGCCGGAGACCCTCTTGAAAGCAGGGAAAATTCAGAGTGGGCAGAAACAGGCTTGGCAGGAAGGGGGTCTCTTCCATCATGGAACGAGCCAGTCCTGGCATGGCTGTCCTGGGCTTTCTCTAGCAGGCGGGCTGGTGAACCTGCAACTCTGCATCTCGCGGGTGCCGTTAGCACCCCAGGACTTCTCCAGGCCCTGACACACACACACACACACCCCGGAGTCTGCAGCTCCTGTTCCCAGATGGCTTCAGACATCACACTAACAGGCACCTTGGAGGTCTTCTAGTCCACCCCCCTGCTCAGGCAGGAATATATTATGTCCGAGGAATCTCTTCTTAAAAACCTCCAGTGATGGAGAACCCACAACTTCTAAAGGCAAGTGGTGGCCACTGCTTAATTGTTCTGTCTGGGAATTTCTCCTTAGTTCTAGGTTGCTTCTCTCCTGGACTGGTTTCCATCCATTGCTTCTTCTCGTCCCGCCCTCGGGTGCTAAAGGATGGCTTCTTCTCCTTTCTCCTTCTCCGTTGAACCCCCCCCCCCCCCCCACACACACACATTTTCCTCCTTCTCCCCCACTGCCTGGGGAGGAGCCATTTCTATCCAGCCGGAAGCCTTCCGCAAAGGAGAGATCTGAAAGAAAGCATGCCTGGAGGATGATGGTCCACCCATCCCACCTGGGATCCCTGCTCCAGCCAAGGATTTCACTCCTTTCCCTCAATGCTCTATCAAACCAGGATGGCCGAGTTCACACACCGTTTCCAAGCCAGCAACCCACATGTTGGGTCGGAGTGAAAACATCCTTGAGGGATTCTTCTCTCCCAGCCTTCATTAGCCAGCTTTGGATGTCAGCCATGTTCTTGGGGTACCATCTCAGCTCAGCAGACCTGGGGGCTTCCCACTTCAACCCTTTTCTTCCCCACCTTCAGCCCACAAAACCATCTTGAAACAGGAAAGCCACCTGGGGGCCTTTATTCAGCTTCTTCCCTCCTTCCGGGTCAAACTGGGCTTGCTCTCCCCTTCCCAAGCGTAGGCATTGAGGGTCAGCAGCTTTGGATGCTCCCAAGTCTTTGAGGTTGTTTGCCTAACTATCTCACTTACGCATGGAGGGGGGTGGGGGGAATGGAACCATTTGGGGAGGGACCAGTTTGGGGAGGTTTCCTCTCTTCCTTTCTTTTCAAGACCCCCAGACTGGAACATCCGTTGCTTCTGCTTGGCCCAAAGAGAGTCAATGCCTCCACAAAGCGACCAGACCAAGTCGAAGGAAAACGCCACAGGGGTCTTCTACAGAAATTTGGAGAGGGGCTCCCGCTTGCTTGGGAATTAGCAAACTGACAAGTAACACAAACAAACAAACAAACAAAATAAATAAATAAATCGGGCTTCTTCGGCTTCAACCACAATAACACACGGGCAAACAATGAATGCAAACTCAAAGTAAACCGCTCCAAACTCCATTGCAGGAAATACGTCTTCAGCAACCGAGTGGTCAGTGCCTGGAACTCACTCCCTGACTCTGTTGTCACATCATCAACCCCCCAAAACTTTAACCTTAAACTGTCTATCATGGACCTCCTTACTCCATTCCTAAGAGGTCCTTAAAGGGGGTGTGCATAAGCGCCCCAGCGTGCCTACCGTCACTGTCCTATTGTTCCCATTTATTCGCACTCATTTATTATATGTATATACTCATACCTGTTTATACTTATATGTTGATATGTTATGTTCATACTTACACTTGTCTCCTCATACATGCTTGACAGACTAAATAAATAAAATAAAATACATACATAAATCCAACAAACACAGCGCTTTTAAGTTACCCTTGCCTTGTTCCTTTGGGGGGGGGGGCAAAAAAGTGTTCATCTTACACATTAGCTACAACACAAATATCTTTACAGGGAAACGTAGAGGAAAAAAAAACCTGGATGTTTCCTGCTTCTCCCTTGCTCCTAATTTGCTCCTTTTTCCTGCTTCCTTTCTTTTTTTTTCAGCAAGCCTCTATTACTAAATAGCTTGGGGCTTTCCATCCCACTTCCTTTTTCGCCCCGGAGATTCTCCTTGGCGATCACTGCTATACCACCATCCAATCTATTCAAACTCCAGGGGAGGTTTCCCCTCCCCGCCCCGTGTTTGTTTCAAATTCTAACTTTAAATCTTCATTCCTAAATGAGATTTATTTCCAATACTTTGATCTGACCTCATCGGTTTGACTTTAAGTGTATCGCTATCCTGAAAATCAATATGTGTC